TTGACTTTTCTTTTTCCTTTTTTGGGTCACTCCCAGTGAAGCTCATGGGTAACTCCTGGTTGTGCACTCAGGAATTACTCCTGGTGGTGCTCAGGAGACCATATAGGATGCCAAATATCAAACCCAGGTCGGCCTGGTGCAAGGCAAACGCCATACCTGCTGCACTATTTCTCCAGACCCAACACTGTGACTTCCATTGCAGCAGTGTGATCTAGTGATAACAGGAGAGATTTTTTAATATTAGCATACCTGAAAACTTTATGGACTGGAGGGATAGCACAGCAGGTCGGGCATTTTCCTTTCATGCAGCTAACATGGCTGGCCCAAGTTCGATTCCTCTGCCCCTCTTGGTGAGCTCGGCAAGCAGTGACAGTAAAAATTTTATTTGGTTATAGGAGGAAGATCAGCATGTCCCCAATTCCAGAGAAAGGAAAAAGAAAAAGGAAATAAAAGAATTTTGGTCTAGGGGTTATTTGACCTTTGAACATTTTAGGTTCTATATGTGGTTGAAATAATAGCTCTGACTCAAAAATGACTGGGGACCAAAACATTTTAGGTATTAGACTGTGCTGGGCTCTTTTACTGCTTTACCATGCTTTCTAGGAGCAATCACTTTTTTTTAATCTGTGTTTCTGTCTCTCTTTTATTCTCTCTCTCTCTCTCTCTCTCTCTCTCTCTCTCTCTCTCTCTCTTTCTCTATTCCTTTCAAGATTTTGAGCTGGGAAAGAGAGTTCCATGTATGTGAAATGAAATGATGAATTCAGCAACAGAACTTGTATAGAGAAATTAGAAATTTGTCAGGGGCAGATGTTATGATTTTCTCCAGATTTCCATTTGGAAGGAGAGTCTCTCCACTGTACCCTCTGAAGGAGGCTGGAAACTAAGTCACTGAGCTAAATAAGAAAAGTAAGCTCAGAAAACTATAGGGCACTCACTCAATTTTGGACTTTCTTGGTAATAGTCATTAAAGAGGGAAGACTCCCAGCCACATTTTTTACCTTGCTTGAAGTCCAAGGTTAAATTTTACTTCTGATGTATTGCTGCAATTGTCTCAGATTCAATTTACATCTGTTTTTGTTTTTAGTGACTCTTCTATTCTTTCAAAATCATCACATCCCATCACAAGGAGAAGGAAAGGACATTCAGAAACCAGATGTTATATTAACCATAACCATTATCCTTTATTGGATCCCAAAGAGGTTTCATCTCTATCTGTGAGTAGGTGAGAACGATACCAACTTTCAGCTGAGCTTTCTACTTTTTGAAGTTTCACGGAGGACAAGGGCTCAGGATCTGCCAACCCCAGAGATTCTGTAACAGGGAACTTCACAGTCATTGTGGATAGTCAGTTGGTTGAACCTTATTAGGTCATTATTTTATAATAAACCCTTCAATGGACTGCTTTAAAATTCATAGATGATACTAACATAAGTAGTTTAAACTAAGGTCAAAATGATGCCTGAACTTTGATATCAAGGAAAATTAGGAGGGAAATAGTTTATAATAAAATAGCATGTGATATGAGAGAGAAATGCTCAGGCATTTCTACAACTCTATTTAAAAAATGAATGAAGCGGTCATATGTTTATATGTCTGAGGGGAACTGTGAATGTGATAGCTGTCAGACCATTGATGGAAGTACAAGCAGCAGAATTTTCATTACATTTTGTAATGTTTTCTCTAAGCCAGTAGAGAAGTTTCAAACAACAAAAAGTACAAGACTACAACCTTTCTCCTCATTTCCATAATTGCTATCCTCCCAAGTTCAACTTACATTAGTATCATACAAAGATATTTTAAGTTTATAAATGAAGTGGAAACATGTTCTAGGATTCTATAAATAGGTTTATCACTTACATTAAATGTCTGGAATCCTGCCCTTTGCCCTACATATATCTACAATATCATTATCCATCATCATAATCTAAATGTAACCTATGGATTAAAAAATGCTATCTATGGCCAGTGCTGTAGCCAGCAGGAACCCTGGTGTGGGCTGATTGATGCTGCTCTGAAGGGCTGGGAATATAGAAATGTGGATTGCGTGAAATGTAGGTCTGTGAACTTACATTTTTGTTTCTAGAAGCCCCAATGCAACCAGATCCCTTGAGATCACACTGGTTTTGACAATTTGTCAAGATGAAAACAGGTGGATTGTTGCCAAAGCTCTTGGTGAGATTTTTAATAATCAACTTCTAAAGTTACTTCGATGGAAGTGTTTTATTTCTGGGTTAGATCTACATTTCGATATGGGTGTCTACTGAACTTGCAGTCTAATGGGTGCTACATTCACAATAAGAACCACATCACACCAGCAAAGCAATATGAATGAAGAGAAGTATGAGTAGTGATAATAGGTATGAAGTATTTTGTGCTTTTTTTCTTAGGATCAGGGGTGCACAACAAGTGATACTCAGTGGTTACTCTTTTGAAAACAAGAGGCATGGTTGAAAATCCAGTCAGAGACCTTGGGAATTGGGGGAAAATGTTTGTTTATCTTACTTTATGATTTATCATTCTTATAAATAGATTTGTTTAAGGTATGATTTGCTTTAGTATGTCAAAGAAAATTTAAACAAAAGTATATTTGTCAATATGGAGAGAGTTTTTGGTGTGTCTGGATTGAGGCTAAATGGGGAATTAAAAAAAAAAACACAAGTTTTGACCTCCTCACACTCAGGTTCAAAGCTGCCTTTGCCAGTCTTTTGGTAATCCTTCAGTAGGTTAAATGTCTCTGAGCCCGTAGTCCTTCCTTTCTAAAATAAGATTCATGACACTGCTTGACTGATGGGGTTTTTACAAATACTGATGAGGCTATACAGGTAGGCCACTGCATTTGGATTTGGTGTAGTGACTGATCTTTGCAAATGCAAGTGTTTGGTAAATATGCCATTGTAATGGTGTAAACTTTGTACAATTACAAAGTTTTATCACCAATAAAGATCTGATAAGAAGGAACAATATTTATGTCTTTATGTAAAAGAGGTTGTGATATGAACTCAAAGATCTTGAAGGCAGAATTTCTTTTAGAGATAGAATTTTTCTTTTCTTTAAAAGAAAGGCACTTTGGGGACATATGCAGTACTGAAAGGTGAGCCCAAGTCCTTCCTACTTCCTGCCCTGGGCAAAGTTTTAAATGGAGCAAGACTGTTCGGCAAGGCAAGAGAATTTCCTAGCAAGTTCTTTCTAGGGGAAAGATGGAAGGAATAGATAGGAAAGAGTTCCTATCTCACTAAAAGACAAGGAGGCAGGGAAACCGCCAGAAGTTTCCTGGTGAGTTTTTTAAAGTCCTGTGGTTTGACAGCTGATTTCTGCCCAGGGCTTCTAGTGCCTTCCAACTCACCCTCCATTCATCTCACCCTCCACAAAACCCGCAATAGATAGCTAAGGAGGAATGGAGGGAGAAAAGTGTTGTCCATGTTGAAGAGAAGCTATAGGGGTAGAAGATCAAGGCCACAGAAGGAATTGTGTAAATCACCAACCACTGATGATGACCTGAGAAATGTTAGTTCTAGGGAAACCTCCTCCCCCCATCTCTTTCCCTAAAACCTACTCTTTGAGGAAGTGAGGTGAGGAGTGGTAGTGAGCAGCATGTGGACAAGTAGCATTTAGTGTTATTATGATTTCCTAAAAATTTATTATGACCCCCTCATTTAAAAATAAACAAACAATAACAATTGGATAGCTTTTCAAGAAGTTTAGGCAGTATTTTAAAACAAGGAAAAGAAATGCTTTTAAAAGCAAGTCAGAAATGACTGATCTTTTCACCTTATACTTCTAGGAAAACTTATGTGAATTAGACTTGCACAGTATACTTTTGGTAAATAATTGCAAACTAACTGAAATAAAAACTCCAGGCCATACTGAAATAAAAACTCCAGGCCAAGAGACCACTTTCTTTTAAAATCTCTTGATGTGGGAGGGCATTAAATGCCACTTGTATGTTATATGTCTTACCTGAGACAATCTTCCCCAAAGCTTCATATCCTGGATTATAACTTTCTGTTGGCTACAGTGAGTGAAGTGTTACTTAATTATGCTTTATTTTTAACTCATATGTGGTCCAATCCATACATCTCTTACAGATTTGTACAACTTCTTTGAAACATTTATTTTTCAATATAATCTGTAGGCTCTATAAGTTAGATCCACTTTGGTGTATGACTAGTTTTTTTTTCTGTGTAAATTTTCATGTATACTTCTTGGCAATGACCTTAAAGCTATATAGAATTCTTAAGAAATGACACATTACACCATTGTCCAAAAGAACAAATTAACCAAACATGATTATTTTTAATGTAATTACTAAAGAAAGATATATCATTTTATTATGACATTCTAGCCATACATTTTCAAAATATGCTTATTAAACAGTAAATGTAAGATAATGATTCAGTTAGTTACAGTTTTAGAAATTATTAGGAATAATATTCCTCTGCCATAAATGAATAATAGTTTCAAATACAATCAGAGTTAATTTAATAAAAAATTGGCTTTGGAACTAAGAGATAGTATATGACCAATCATTATTTTCTGGTTTCAGAATAGCAGGGAAAATTAATTCAGTGTCTGCAAGTTTATTGATCACCCTTGGCCTATGAACGTGATAAAAACAAATGAAGCAAAATCCATGATGTCATCCCAGTTCTCCGAGTTCATTTACTCTCTTAGCAAAAAGAGATCTGCCATGGCCTTTACGCCTTTATGTAAACTGAATAGAAGCTGCAGAATGAGAGTTTTTGATGTTTTGAATAGACATTTTAATGATACACAGACACAGATCAGAGATGTGATAGACGGAGGTTTCAGAGTCCCCCCTGCAGTGTGTTTAGCAGCAGGTACAAGATAAATATCCAGATCAAATCAGATTAAGGGATTAACAAAAGTGACTGCTATGGGTGGGGAAGTGAGTGCTTGCAAGGGATTTTAGCACTCAACTTTCATTTTTCCTACATGTACATCAGTGCTTTTTGGGTGAAAGAAAATGAATAATCTTTCCATTTTAGGGTATAGTAGGCCTGAGAGAGATTTTCAAAAGGAGAAGGATCTTGAAAGGTTGTTTTGAAAGTGACAGGTGATTCAGTGAACGTTCTCCATCAGGCTTCATTTAAACTTTGTGTTTCTGTCTAAATTAAACTTTTTCTTTGAAGACAGTATCAATGACATTAGATAATGGGGAAAAGGAGGGACCAGTTTAAGATCACTGTGGCATCACCAATGAACAGTGAACATGTGAGCTGTATATTTTTATCAGAGTGTGAGCTGTATGTTTTTAAAGAGGCCCCTTTTGATTTCAGTTTCAAATTGGTCAGCTCTATGTAAAAAATTTGAGGCATATAATACATGAATAAAGGCTGGAAGGAATAAAGACAGTTTCAAAAGTCCCCTATGCCACCATATTAACTAAGAGACTTTTTTTAAAAAAAGAATTCTTCCAGATAGGACTTGGCTATTTAAATGGATACCTTTATCCTGTACCATACGCACTTAAAGCTTCAGTCTTCACATCTCTTTTTATTTTTAAATATATATCACACACAAAAAAGATATTTATGTGTCTTTCTAATACCTAACAGGAAAGACTTTTAGAATATTAAAATAGCAAGAAGCAATAATGTACTACAGGATTAAACACTAGCATGGAAAACAAACAAACAAATCCCAAACAAAGAATCAACAAAATTTTCCTCTTCATTTTGTCCCCTCAGATTCTGACTTTTTTGATGACTGTAGGAGAGGGACAGAAAGAGTCACAAGTGTATTTTAAATCAAGGAAATTATTCCATAGTGAATAAATTTGATTTACTTTTTGAAAACACTGGTGGAAAAGCTCAGGTAATTTAGGTGGGAACAGAGCTGAGGAGGATGTGCTCTAATAAATTAGTACACTCTTTTAAGATGAAAACTAGCAAAAATGCTTTAAATAGTCAGATTATAGCATTAATAAGTCAAACATACATTTCTATCTAGCCTATAGTTTTAAAGAGTCTATGTGGGTTTAACTTATCATTCCTTATTCCAATATAAAAAAAAAACCAGTCAGGTTTGAACACTAAGATATTCATAAAGACTGTAAAAAGTAAAAAAAAACGCCCCCCCAATAAAAAATGAAACAGAAAAGTCTTCACAGATTGTTAGCCAACAATTTCTTTCAACAATTTCTCATAAATTCTTCTCTTTCCTTATCAATGGGTAACTGCGATCTCAGAGGGAAACACTTCCCAGCATTTCCCAGTGAGACTAGTGATTGCTTTTTTTTCTGGGAACAACTGTTCTTTGAGATGTTTACATGAAAGGAGAACATCTTCTATAAACTAGCAAATGCCAAAGAATTAGTCAATGAGGATGTGGCAGAAGCTGGTTTTGTCTGTTTGCAGGTGAAATTATCTATTGTTTCTTTTTTTTAATTTTCTCCACTTGCTAACTATCTGTCTTAGAGCAGAGAATACAAAAATCAACAAGAAACCTAATCATCTTTTTCTGTTCACTGTTTGCCTTTAAGGTCATTTTCTTTCTTTTTTTTTTCCATTTATACTCCATGCTCTTGATCAAGGTGCTCAATTGGATAATAGATTGCTAAATTTGACATGTTTTGGAGCCAACAAAATAACGGAGACTTCTAATTTTAAAAATTGTCTGTCTTTTACCCCGACACCCCCAAACTCACAATTTGGTGAATAGTGTTGCCACTTGTGAGTGACAAAATGTTGAAAGGTGGTGGTGGCTAGACTTAATGATATTTTATTAAGCCATATATTTATAGAATTGTTGTTTTTCATACTTTAAAAAAATATGTCTATGCTTTCTTTTTTTTCAATTTTCCTTTTTTTCTCTTTTTTTCTTTTTTTCTTTTTTTTTTAGTCAAGTACTTTCTTAAAGAAACAATAGCACCACATTGGCATAACTGGCCAAACAATAAATGGGAAAGCAAAATGTGCTACATCTTTCATTTTCAATATCCTCCCAAGTGCATAAACTAGGATCAGAAATCCTGGAGCCACCACAGTGCATGGGATAATTTCATCAATACAAACTTTGACATTCCAAAGAGGGAAGGATTCTCAAGGGAAGTCAGGTTTTTCTTCTGCTTCATTTTTTTTTTAAAATTAAGATATATCGAGGAAGTGATTTATTCTAAGACTTCATTGGACTGTTCGGATGAGTACTTCTGTGAGTGCAAGTGTGGAAGTAAGTGCACGTGTGTGTGTGTGTGTGTATGCGGAGGGCAGGCATTGTGACAGTTTTCTTTATCAATAGAAGAGTGGTTTATAATAGATGTTTTAACATTTTTATGGGAGTCTCCCTATACAAAACTGTTCAGATATAATTGTTACATAATTTGGGGGAGTGAGAACAGAAATCTAAAGTAGGGAGTCAATATCATTAATTTAATGGGGACTAAGACTAGAAATGGAAATCTCAACCTTACCAGCATTTTCAGCTTTTTCTATCAACATTTTTTAAAAAATGCAGCATTTAAAAAATCTAAAGCAATATAATTCCAAAGCAAAGCTTATAAAGTTGTTTAAGCTATAAAATTTTAGGTGCTCCAGCCCACCAATCCTGGATTATCCTGCTGTGGTAATGTTAGGAGCAAGCAAGTGACAGTTACAGTTTGCCACACATTAGCTTCTTTGAGCTTTTTAAAAATAAGATAGTGGCTTAGTATAATCAGTACGTTTTTCATTAGTTGACTTTTTATTCAGTCGGAGAGGATCACGTTTTAAGAAAAGTTAAGAAAGATAATTCAGCTTAACACATTTTAGCTTTCTTACTGGGACATTTTTGGCTGTGAATAGAATCACTAAATGAAAAAAATAAGTCAAAAACACCTTAGAATTACTTTCTCTAACTACAGAAACCCACAAGTATCCTTGATTGCCTGTGAAGTGTTGCTGGGAGTTTGTTATTTTAAAAGGCTGAGACAAGACATCACACAGTGAGGTCCAGCATATCCTTGGACTAAACCCCTCTCTCTGGAAAACAAGTGAAGGGCAAACATTACAAGGTTTCTCTTACTTCTGTTGGCAGTGGCCAGAACACTGTATAGGGAACTTGGCAGTAATAGGGTTAACATGCTTGCTGGCTGAGCAGGGGCCCCACTAAATGAGCTCTTCATTTTGCAGTATGCAGAGAGCCAGAAAGTTTCTTTCCTTTCCTTTTTCTGGCCTCTGAACCTTGAGGTGAGCCAGTGGGATGAAAACTAAAGATGTTGATTTTGTTTTCCATATACACTTTCCAAGAATGAAAGGGATAAAATGTGCATGAGGTAATCAACCCCAGGGGAGGTATTTTTTTTTAAAAAAACAGAAAAGTTCTAAGATTGATAAAAAAGATCTGAATGACAGATGATTCATTGTTCTAATGAGAAAATCTTGATCCATAGACACTTGGGTGGCCGCGATGGGCCAATCTTCATCATTGGATTTTGGATATCAATTTTTCTTTGAGTGAATAAAAAAATACCCACAGAAGGCCAAGGAGCCCCTCTTGTAAGGACACAGGAGGGGAAATTTCTAGTTGTGGAGGAAAATTTTGTCTTTCAACTAGCAACTGTAGTCAAGCATATTTTAACAACTACAATACTATGTGCATATATATGTATATATATATATATATATATAAGAGAAAATTTTATTAAAGAAACTGAATTTTTACTAGATATTTGTTTAACATTTAAAATATTGGGACTTTTTCCACTTGACCTAAGAGAAATGGTGACTGCATTTCAAAATGAATAGTGTATCACTTATAATTGAAAAAGGATTACTAATTTACAACTGCCAAGAAGAGTCTAAGCGAGTGATAGCGTCAGCAGTTAGTTAATCACCCTTTTGCTGGTAGAAATCTTTTTGCTTTTCTCTTTTTTCTTTTCCCATTTCTCTCTCTCTACTTTGTACTCCTAAATCCGAATGCAGAGTTCAAAATCAAATTGTGAATCAGTTTTCTAGTTTATTTTGAAAGTGTATTAAGTGAGGTGTGAGCTATTGTCATTTAACAACTGGTCACCTGTGTTGACAAAAAGGCCAAGTCAGGGACTTTCAGCTATGCAATTTCCCAGGAACCTGTCAGTGGATTATTTGTAGAATTCCTTGCATCCCAACAACTCAATTACTCTGACCTTGCACTCTCTAAGCAACCCAGGGTAAACATCTGGAACTTTATATTCTTCATCCTCACACCACCCTGGTGAGGTAGGAAGATGGCATATTGCCCCTATTTTGCAGAAGAGAAAACTGAGGCACAGAGAGGTGAAATAACTTGTCCAAGGTCACACAGAAGTGTGTCTGTGGCAGAATCAGCAGATTTGTTTCTCCAGGGAGAGAAAGAAACCAGAAGTATTAAAATTCCTGGCATTCTGCTTTTTCTACTCCTCTCTGGACTCGCCCATAAATTCATATCCATGATCTTTGTGCCTTACATTTTCCTAAGAAGGCATAATTGGAAAAATTGATCTTCTTTCCCCATTGAGCGGATTCTCAGTCCCCTTCCCCTCTGTGGCATCTTTGGCTCCAGGATTCCCCTTTGCTTTTGCTTTCTCCTTTTACCATTTTGGCCAGACTCTTTCGTATAACAAACTACAAAATAGCACCATTGTACTAAAAAACAGAGTTTTGCATACGGCTGATATATCCTGTATTATTGATATGCTAAATTTACATAGTGCTTTATATGGAAAAACATAAAGAGAAAGAAAACTTACTAATTATGTTGCATAAAAACATATTGGATGGAACAATGGAAAGTTTAAGACTTTTATATGCTTAAAACACATGCCTAAAAATGATTGGCCTCAAAGTTGCTACCACTTACATTTTTTTTTAAAGAGGTGGAAAAATAAAGCTTTGAGTTGAAAATAAATGCATCCAATTTATATTTGGTACAAATGTCACAGATAGAGTCTTGTGGGTCATAGACTGGTGTAATAATATTTGATTGCTTGTTGCTGCTATGGAGGAGGCCAAGTTAGGCAAATAAAAAGGCAATGAGAGGGAAGGGAGATACACAAACAAGATTATTAGACATTGTAAAACAAATAGGTTGTGGTTGTGTAGAAAGAAGTGCAAATAAAAAAATTAATAAACCACTTATACAAGGCTGCTGAATGAGTGGCTCCAATAGCCAAGATTCAGAGACAAATTTAGTGCAATTGGATCTATACAACACCCATGCTTTGTGGCTCTTGAGAGGCAGGGTCTAAAATATATATATGTGTGTGTATATATGTATATATGTATATATTTTAAGTATGTATATACATATATATTTCTCTATTGAACATTATTGATAAAGGATCAATAGCAATCTACCAACTCCAAGACCATTTTTGCAAGGTGCAAAGCTTTTAACAATCACTCCTAAAGACAATGTTGGAATGTTTACTTGCGTATTTCATTGGGGGAAATGCCCATCTTTTGCATTGTTATTATCAAACTTTTTTTTTTGGTAGGTCTTCTGGTGTTCAACAGACAATTGTGCAGAACAAAAGATCCTGCCGGTGTTATATCATTCTTCACTCTTCAGGACTTCCTACATTCTGTAATTCTTGTTTCCTGCACTTCCTCTACTTGCGTTCTTCAAATGTACTTCCTAAAAAGAAAGAAGAAGATGTAACATCAACTTGATGAAGTTTTCTTACCTACCCATTGATTGATAACATTGACTCCCACCTTCCATCTCTAAAGTCTTACTCGTCTTTCCTGAGAATGACATACATGTATGTATGTATGTATGGGTGTATGGGTCTTAAGTTTTCACTCTAGCTAATCCTCACTCAAGCTACTTTAGTGTAATCCCTGGTGACATGGCAACCACAACTACTGTAATAGCACACCAAAATGTGTTTCTATCCCTCTATTGCTATTACAGATTCGCTGATTGGAAAGAGATCATAATAAATTTAATCTCTGGTCTAAAGGATCTTTTCCTAATGAGAAAGAAAAATCACTTTCTAGAATCATATTGTTGTTTAATTGTAGCTTGTTCTGTTTTATTTTTTGTTAAAAAAGGATTTTCTCTTTTTTGCATTTTTGTCCATTTTTCCTTCGGCAAGTGAAATATATTTAAAAGTTGAAGATTAGAAAGTGTTCTAATTGATGTAGAATTTGCAAAATCACAAATATTGTGAGCTTGTCTCAAACCCCAACTCCCTAATTTCCTAGCTATGTAAATTTGTACAAATGAAATCTCAATTTTGGGGGGTCACACCCGGCGATGCTCAGGGGTTACTCCTACTTCTGAACTCAGGAATCACTCCTGGCAGTGCTCAGGGAACCATATGGGATGCTGGGAATCAAACCTGGGTCAGTCGCATGCTAGGCAAATGCCCTACTGCTGTGCCATCCCTCCAGCCCCCAGAAATCTCAATTTTTTTATCCTAAACTAGAATGATGATGGTTTCTACCTTGCAGGATTTAGGATTGAAGAATTAGCACAAAATTCCACTTTCTATAAATCTAGAACATGGGAAACACTATATAATTATTAGCTACCAACATATTATTACAGAATTACTCTCCCCCCCTTCTCTATCCTTCTATTTTTTCTTGCTTCTTTGCATTTCATATCTATTTGAAACCAGCTATTTCAGGAAAAAATTCTTAGAATCTTTGCTTTGGTTCTATTATTCACTCATTAACAAGAAATGATTAGTTTATAGTTTGCTGCAGGTTGACTTTAGGTTGGCTGAAGCGATAGCACAGTGGTAGGGCATTTGCCTTATGTGCAGCCAGCCCGGCTGCGCTGGGTTCGATTCTTCCACCCCTCTTGGAAAGCCCGGCAAACTACCGAGAGTACCGCAATCGCACGGCAAAGCCTGGCAAGCTACCTGTGACATTACTGGGCCCACTCAAGCAAATCAATGAACAAATCAATGAACAACAGGAGGACAGTGTGACAACAAGAAATGTGGTTACCCAAGGAATATTGAGTCTTTCTCAGAATGGAAGTTCTGTGATAGCAGGGTAGAAATGCTAAATAATTTCTTTCTTATTTTTTTTCTGCTGTGAGAGCCCTCTCCACTGACTGTACAAGAATAGTATAGCAGCTCCACAAATAATTATAGAATGAATGAAAAGGAAAAATGGATGAATGAGTATAAATATGGACCTCTGAAAAGAGGTGAAAAGTTCTATTTCCCTAATATTATTATATGCTCATTAAATATACACAGCAAAGCTTATTTAGACAAATTGAAAGTGAAATAAGTCAAGGAGGAAATGGCATTTACATTTATATACTTAAATTTGCTCGAGCGGGCCCAGTAACGTCTCCATTGGAGACTTTGTTGTTACTGTGTCTGGCATATCGAATACTCTCTGTAGCTTGCCGGGAGTGATAGCACAGCGGTAGGGCGTTTGCCTTACAAGCGGCCAACATGGCTGACCCGAGTTCGATTCCTCCGCCCCTCTCGGAGAGCCCGGCAAGCTACCGAGAGTATTCGATATGCCAGACACAGTAACAACAAAGTCTCCAATGGAGACGTTACTGGGCCCGCTCGAGCAAATCGACGATCAACGGGAGGGCCTTTACTTACTTTTACTTTACTTATACTTAAATTGCTTCTTCTCTTGTTTCTACCTCTAGCAGGACGCCTTCTACTGGGGACATAGTGGACAAATATTGGTATAAAACGAGCCTCAAAGAGCCGTAGTGCTTCTTATCCTCATATGTTTCCATCCAGATTCAAAATAAGAGTTCTCATTATGGTGACTGGAATCTCCAAAGTCTACCTCCTTGCTAAGGTAAATACCTCCTTGCCCACTCACTTAGAGCTTAGATATCTGTAAGGGATCTTAGGTAACCTCCAAACTTGAGACCTGAAGAGTAAACTGGGGTAGAAGCAGTTTCCAATTCCTAAAAATTGTAGATATTGGCAAGGCCCTTAGGGATTTGGGATTTTTTTTTTTTAACATATGCTTTTCAGCTCTACCTGGAACATTTAGGTTACCACCACATCCTTCATAAAATCTAGTCTGCACTTTGTAATCCTGCACAACCTGGGTAGAAAGAAACTGTTCATTAAAATAGCTGGCATAATTTCCACTCCAGAAAGCCGGAAATGTTAGGTAGATGATACCTAAAATTCCCCCAAAGAACCTACCTAAAATTCCCCAATGGTCATACATTTGCTAAGTCTACTTCTCTTTGTGCTGTACAAAGCATCTACTGTTGACCAACAAATAAACTTGCATTCCTTTGGTCATGTGGCCACACCCAGAGGTGCTGTGGATAGCAGGTGGTATTCCCAGTTCTGTGCCTGAGGTCTTTGAAGACAGTGCTTGGGGGCCATTTACTTTTGGGGATGAGTGTCTTGCATGCAAAGCAAATGCTCAGCCCCTTGAGCTATCTCTCCAGCCTTCTATTTGCATTCCTCATCATTTATCTTATTCTGCCTTGTTAAAGTAATTTTCCTAAAATGTGGAATGAGACCTTTGAAACTACAGGGGAAAACTGCTAACAACCCAAATTCCTTAAAACTTCCTGTTGAATTCTGGATGGGTCCTCATCTCAAATATCTATTTTGGAGGATATAACCTGTTTTCAAATAACTAACTAATGAACGAGTACAAAAACATATTGCAAATTTTAACTCTTTTGTTTGTTTGCTTAAGAGCTGAGAAAAAATAAAATTAAGAATCTACATAATTCCCAGAGGAAGGACACTCAGTTAAGAATGAAATGGCAACTTCTTTTCTTAAAAGCCAGATAAAAATCTCCTCTCTTAACAATTTTTAATCCCAAATTTCCAGAAGAAAAATTTCTGGTATATTCAATATTTTCTCCTTCAAATTAATGACCGCTTTACAAAAAGGGTTGAGTCAATTGAGTTGGGTCTTATCCTTTATCCTAACAGAGATTTCCTTTTCTCTTTTTTTTTTTTTTGGTGGGGAAGTATTGGGCCACACCTGGCAGTGCCACACCTGGCAGTGCTCAGGGTTTACTCCTGGTTCTGTGCTCAGGAGTCACTCCTGGTGGTGCCCAGGATGAAACCCAGGTCAGCAGAAACAAAATAGACAAACATGCTATACTATCTCTCTGGCTGGAGATTCTTTTTCTTTACTCTGAAAGAAAAGATTTAGAATATAAATTTGGGGCAGAGGCATCCTCTGGTCTTCCGCCTCACCCCCGGCCCCCGGGTCTGTGGTGGCAAAGTCATGGGCAGAGTCTAGCCCCTTCCTGCGGTTCCCATACACACACACACACACACACACACACACACACACACACACACACACACGCTGAAGGCGGAGGCCATTCAAACCCAGCTGCAATGTCAATGTTGTCTGGTTCCCATTTGGCTTCCTTCCCAGGCTTTCACATGAGACTTCTTTGTTGCAGACAATGACAGTGACAAAACAAAAGCACTCTGGGATTTCGTCTCAGTTGCATCTGTTGCTCTGCTCATAGTCTTAATTTAATTACTCTGGCTACCAGTGACAATGGGCGGCAAGTGAAGACATGTTAGAACCAGCCAGCGGGGCTGGCACTCACCTTCCATGCACTTCTTAAAGAGTTATGAAACTGCCCCACATTTAGCTAAGCAAAAAATTTTCACTTCAACAGCTTGTCCAAGACAAACAAGCCAGCTGAAACTGTTTCTAGTATGCAACTAGACATATTTTGAAAAGCAAAACAGTAGTGAGTAAATACTGTTTCCAATTGACATGGGGGAAGGTAAGATTATTTGAAAACAATAACCATTTGGTTCTCACTCTAGTTCAGGGAGGCTGACTGAGGAAATGTATACCTTTGAAAGGTTAGCCAGCTCTTCTGGTAATATGTGTAAGAGGGACCTCATTTGTGATATGCTTTATTACACACTGTGTGACTTATCTGTAGAGATTTAAGAAGTGGGAGAATGTTTTGAAAGGGTCAATCACATTCCCCCATGATGCCCTCTCATTTTTATTCCAAGGGAAAGCTATCCACAGACTTTGAGATTAAGATCATGGACTGTTAATGACATTGACAATAATAATAATAATTAATAATAATAATCTTGATTAACATTAGCACATCATAAGTTTTTCCCCACCACTTAATGAAGTGATATTATTTGTAGACATTCACAATCTAGGCTCACCGAGAATCGGTGGCTTCCTTGATGTTACATGGAACAAATACATAGATCAGGGATTAATCGCATTTATTTATTTATTTATTTATTTATTTTTGCTTTTTTTTGCTTTTTGGGTCATACCCGGCAATACACAGCAGTTACTCCTGGCTCATGTACTCAGGAATTATTCCTCGCGGTGCTCAGAAGACCATATGGGATGCTGGGAATTGAAGCCAGGTCGGCAGCGTGCAAGACAAATGCCCTATCCACTGTGCTATCACTCCAACCCCCAGGGATTAATCATAAAGAAATTTATTATTTTAATAAGATATCCATATCACCTGAGATTTTCATATTTATTATATGCTGATAAAACTGTAACTAGTGCCTCAAGGTCTAAATCTCTTTTCAATAGTGGTAAATGATAATGCAATGAGCTCTTCATGATCTCAGAGCATAAAAAATATTGGTTAACAGGGTAAGTAAAAGTCTACACTGGAAATGGATGCCTTCCCTCAACAAAAGGGTT